GGGCCCAGCCCGCATCCAAGGGCACGGCCACGAGCGGTAATTCCTGCTGGTTGTCGACGACTACACGCGTTACACCACGGTCTTCCCCTTGCGCGCAAGGGGGAGGTCCCTGATGTTTTGATCCCCTGGATCCGCGCTGTTCGTCTCCAGCTCCGCGAGCGGTTCTAGTCGGACTATCCTGTCCTCCGTTTGCACTCTGACTGAGGTGGTGAGTTCTCCTCCAACCTCTTGCGAGCCTACTGTGAGGAGCACGGCATCCGCCAGACGTTCACGCTTCCGGCCTCTCCGCAGCAGAATGGGATTGCTGAGCGCCGCATTGGCTTAGTCATGGAGGTCGCTCGTACCTCCATGATCCATGCGGTGGCCCCCAGTTTTCTGTGGCCGTTTGCGGTCCGGTACGCCGTGCATCACCTCAACCTCTGGCCCCGTGTCTCCGTGCCGAAGACTTCACCCACACTGTGCTGGATGGGGGAGGTTGGCGATGCGTCGCGTTTCCGAGTCTGGGGTGCCCGAGCCTTTGTCCGCGATACCATTGCGGACAAGCTCTCCCCTCGCGCCATTCCCTGCATCTTCCTTGGCTTTGTCCCTGACGTGCCTGGCTGGCAGTTTTACGATCCCGCCTCGTGCCGTGTCTTTCCGTCTCAGGACGTCACCTTTGACGAGTCAATCCCCTTTTACCGTCTCTTTCCCTACCGCACTGCCCCTCACCCCCCCCCCCCCCCCCCCACCGCTCTTTCTCGCTCCAGGTCCTCCCCAGGTAAACCCCCTCCCCGTGCCATGTCCTGCTCCTTCAGGTGTTTCTCAGGTAGACCCTCCCGTGCCTGCGCCTGTTGAGGTCACTGGTGACTCAGGTCCTGCTGGGGGTGGTCCTGCTCGGGGTGCTGAGTCTGGGGACACGGAGCGTGAGCGTGAGGAGCCTGGGGGTGCTGAGCCTGGGGGTACATAGCCTCGGGTGCTGAGCCTGAGCGTGAGGAGCCTAGAGGTGCTACGCCAGAGCGTGAGGAGGTTGGAGGTACTACGCATGGGGGTGCTACGTCTGGGGGTCCTGCGCCTGAGCGTGAGGAGCCTGGGGGTGCTGAGTTTGGGGGTGCGGCGCCTGAGGGTACTAAGACTGCTGATGCACGGTCTCCTTGGAGATGCCGCCTTCGTCCGCGTGCGCCTCTCTCCCCTCAGCAGCTACATGAGTGGTACGCTAGCCGTCAGGGTCGCGCTGCTGGAGCTCGGGGCTCTACAGCTGGGAGTGGTGCTGGTACTTTGTCTACAGGAGGTGCTGGAGTCGTTGGTTCCGGAGGTGCTCGTACAGGAGGTACTGGAGTTGCTGGAGCTGGCGGTGCTGAGTCTGGGGGTTCTGTTGCTGGAGACCCTGGGGCTGGAGGTGCCGGTTCTGGGGGTACTGCTGCTGGTGACGCTGGTGCGGGAGGTGCTGGAGCTGGAGGTTCTGGAGCTGCTGGTGACGCTGGTACTGGAGGTGCTGGCGCTGGAGGTTGTGGGGCTGTTGGTGACGCTGGTACTGGAGGTGCTGGCGCTGGAGGTTCTGGAGCTGCTGGTGACAATGGTACTGGAGGTGCTCGCGCTGGAGGTTCTGGAGATGCTGGTGGTGCTGGCGCTCGAGGAGCTGGAGCTGGAGGTTCTGGAGCTGCTGGAGGTGTTGGAAAAGCTGGTGGTGCTGGAGCTGGTGGTGCTGGTGGCGATGCACAGCCACGACTGTTCTTTGCTCCGCCGTCTTCCTCGTCTCTACCACCGCCTGACTCCGTGCTTCGCCAAGTTCTTAGCCTCCCGTCGTCTACTGGTCTTCCGTTACAGCCTGGCTCACAGCTACCTGGTCCTTCTCCTTACACTGAGCAGCCAGGAGGTCTTGCTGAGCGTCGTGAGCCTGCGTCGCGTCCTGTCTCGTCTGTCCGCACTGGTCATCGTTTTCCTCGTCCGCGTCCGCCCGCTGTCCCCGGCACACACCTCATGGCTTTGCGTTCTTCCTCTTCTCCACATCGTGTTCCTGTGCCATCTCCTCCTGCATCTTCTCTGCCTGTCGTTGCTGACCCTAAGTCTGACCGGTTTCGTGCTGAGCACCCTACTGTCACGCGTCTGCTAGCCACTGTTGTCACTGACCCGTTGTTTGAGTCTGCTGTTGCGTCTGCCTTCATCACTGAGCTTGTTGACTTTGCTGCTGCCTGTCTTCTAGACTATGCCGCTAGTCTTGTTGCTGAGTCTGATCTGTCTGTCCTCCGTCCGTCGGGGGTGAGTGTGCTCTTGGCACGGACGTCCTTCAGGACAGGCAGGAGGACCTTGAGTGTCTTGCAGTCACTGCGCCTCATCTCGTGGCCATGCTGCTTGCCCGTAAGGAAGACCCGGATGCTCCAGACATCCCGACCCCGCGCTCTTACGCTGAGGCAATCGCGGGTGAGTACTCCTCTTAGTGGCAGACAGCCATGGACGCAGAGATGGCATCCTTGAAGTCCACAGGCACCTACGTCGACGAGGTTCCCCCTCCTGGGGCGAACATCGTCGATGGCATGAGGGTTTTCAGGCTGAAACGGCCGTCGGGTTCTCCGCCTATCTTCAAGGCTCGTTATGTTGCTCGAGGCTTCAATCAGCGGGAGGGAGTTGACTTCTTCCAGACCTTCTCCCCCACCCCGAAGATGACCACTCTTCGGGTGCTGCTGCACGTTGCCGGTCAGCGTGACTACGAGCTTCACTCTCTTGACTTTAGCACAGCCTTCCTGCAGGGCAGCCTGCACGAGGAGATCTGGCTGCGCTGCCCACCTGGCTTCACTGGGTCGTTCCTTCCTGGTACCCAGTGGAGCCTCCGGCGGCCATTTTACGGTCTTCGTCAGGCGCCGCGTAAGTGGCACGACACAGTGAGGACGATACTTGCGGCTGTTGGGTTTGCTCCGTTGACTGCTGACCCGTCGCTGTTTCTGCGCACCGGTGAAGTCGGAGCTGCAGAAGAGACACACGTGCACAAACCTGGGTGAGCTGCGCAGCTACCTTGGCTTGCAGATCCCCCAGGACAGAGCACGCCGCACCAACACACTGACTTAGTCACACATGGTGCAGCAGGTCCTTCAGCGCTTCGGCTTCACCTGGTCCTCGGCACAGGCCAATCCTCTGGCTACAGGTTATTCGCTCTCAGCTCCACCTTCGGACGAGTCCGTAGAGCCGAGTGGTCCTTACCCAGAGCTAGTGGGCTGCCTCATGTACCTGATGACTTGCACTCGTCCTGACCTTGCGTACCCTCTTGGCCTTCTGGCTCGCTACGTGGCTCCTGGTCACTTAGACGCTTCTTGGGTTGACGACCTGGCTACGCAGCGGTCGTCACAGGGTTACACCTTCAGCCTTGGCTTTGGCTTTGTTTCTTGGCGGTCTACACGCTGTTCCTCTGTTCTCAGCTCTAGTTGCGAGGCTGAGATCTACGCTACAGCCATGGCTGCTCAGGAGTTACACTAGCTTACCTACCTGCTGACCGACTTGGGAGAGCGGCCTCGTTCTCCTCCAATGTTGTATGTAGACAACAAGGCCGCCATTGCCTTGTGTCAGGAGGACAGACTGGAGCACAAAATGAAGCACATCGCTCTGCGTTACTTCCTTGCTCGAGAGTTGCAGCAGCGTGGTTAGCTACGCTTTGCTCGCGTGACCACTTGGGCCAACACTGCTGATATATTCACCAAGGCACTTCCGTCTGGTGAATAGCAGCGCTTTTGTACCTTGTCGGGCCTTGTGCCTACATTTCCTCACTTGCTGTTGGATTTGTTTGTACTGCGATCTATATATATATACCTGCATGCTTGGTAGAGATCACTATGCTGTTGTTGTTGCATATATACCTCTGCATGTGAACTGCTTTGTGGCCCTTTGCTTGTGCTCAGTGTGTGTGGTGACGTTATGATCCACCCTGAGCTTGCTTTGCCTCTCTTGACTGGTCTTGTGACCCCTTGCTCTCCCCCACTTTGCCTATGGGGTTGTGTCAAATGATACATATGCTACATATGTTTAGGGTGTAGTGGGGTAGCTAACATGGGGTATAGCCCCATTAGGGTTTCATATTTGTACCCAACTCTGTCCTAGTCCATTCATTCGTGCCTAGACTTCTGACAGCCCGTGGGTCAGTTGCTCCATCCGCTCGTCTTAGCTGCGGAGCCAGTTACTCCAGCAGTCCGGATGCCCTTGCTCCGGTAGCCAGTGTGCCAGTTGCTACGTTGCCCGTGTGTCAACAGCTTCACCTGCCGCCTCCCAAATCCTCTCCTCTCGTAATCCCTCCTCCTCACTACCCCTCTGCTATGTCTGCCACTAGGGCTAATTTGTGAACTTGCTCTATGACTGCTTGTTGTGCTGATTATACCCACTTTGCCTATGGGGGGGTGTCAGAATGTTATATTGTCTAGTCTGCAATGGGGTACTCAATAGTGAGTACAGCCCTGTTAGGGTTTCGTATTTGTATCCCCTCTCCCTCTTCTTCTGTTACCATTCTCGTTCGTACTTCTTGACAGTCATCTGATGGACATTCTCAGAATTTAACTGCATTTGACATAAATGAAGCGTAGGCGCTCAGCCCTTAAGGTACGCGATGCAGAACGATGCTTTTTTCTTAGGAGACTGTTTGGCTCGTCGCCAAAGGAAGTTTTTAACGGCCTAGAATGAGTTGCAGGATTTTTTAAGTAGACAAGGACGCGTCGCTGAACTTCCTCTCGCAGCGAGCCGTTGAGATGGCCTTGACAGCGGCTCCTACGGGGAGGAGCTCTGGGGAGCGGTGTGGACAGCCGCAAGAGGAAGAGAGGGAAAGGGAGGAGCTTGGGGCGGGTACAAACTACTGCACGAACAGCGATGTTCTGTACGATACAGAATGGCACAATACAGCATGAAACCACTCGCACTCATGTAAAATGTGAAGCGTGGGGTTGCAGATAGGGAGTGGGTTTAGGCAGATGTAGCCTTGTGTAATTGATAGTTGACAAGCATACAAAAATTAGGTGTGATATTTCTCACACTACTTATCCAATCCCTCCTCAGGGTTGGCCTCTTAGCTTGCACTGAGAGGATGGGGAAGGATCCTTAGTGCTGGTCATCGCAGCACCAGCAAAGTCGCATGCAGCAGGGTGCTGGCGCTCCCGCTGGTACCACTCATTGAAAACGACAGTAGCCTTGCTGGATTCGGGGCACTTGGCCATGATGGTCCCGCAGTTCATGCCACCTCCGCCACTAGAGCAAGCCCACGCAACCGCATTACTAAGTGCTTGTTTCGTTGCAGAGGATTTCGGAATGCACCATCTGGGGGAAGTGCCACCATTACCACCACTGCTGCTCCCACCACTTCCAGAAGAACTGCCACCGCCACCACCACCACTCTTGCTGCTACCACCACTGCTGCCATTACCGCCACCACCCAGCACGTTGAGAGAGTACTTGGGGTCGCCCTGCATGGTGCAGAGCCCCCACGAGGTCTCAAACTTGCCCATGGCCGTGTCCTTGCGGTCCTCGTCAAACATTTCAAACAGGTACGCGCGGATGGGCGAGTTGCGCCGCTTGGGGGTGCCGCGGCCAGACAGCAGGAACGATACCAGCGCCGTGTTCCACTCCTTGGCTGCTGCGGGTGACGCGATGGCTGCTCCTGCTGTTGGCCACCCTGTCTCGCCCACTGGATGGGATGAGAGGGCGAGTGGACGGGTGGAGAGAGGGGAGGTTTGACTAAGAGTCTATCAGGCTGGTGGTGCTGGTGCTGGTGCTGGGTGCTGGTGCCGGTGGTGGTGGCGGTTGGTGATGTGGGTGCAAAAATGCCAGAGGAGGAGAGAAATACGGCAGGGAAGGAGCGCACGTAATAATAACGATCCGAATCCCCAGCTACAACAATCCTCACCGATGAAGGGCATGTTGGGGAATCCGAGCTTCTCGAAGGACCAGAGCGCAGCGTCAATGGACGCCTCCATCATGTTGCTGTACCGCCGCCCCTTGTCGTCGTAGCTCCCCGCGCCGCCCTTGAAGAACACGAAATCACGCGGGATGTTGGCCGGGTCGGCAAGGTACGAGAAGAAAGGGTACGCGTTCAGCACGGCGTACGAGCCTGAGAGACGAAGGGTGGGGTGGGTTGGGAGAGGGCAGCACAGAGGGACAGGCAGGGATGCGAGCGAGAAAATGAGATCCAGTGGAGCTGGTTGGGCATCACATTGCAACAGGGCACAGAGATTCACTCATCACCATTACTCATGCGGCATAGCTTATAGTCTGCTCGCTTCTGCTCGCGTGAGCGTGTGTTGCGGCACGCTGGGTGGACCTCGCCGTGTCGCGGTTGAAGAGTTGAAACGGCCTACCTGTTCGGTTGAGGAAGGATAGCAGGCTGGTGACCTCGCTTCTCACGCTCGACATCACTTGCGCGCTCGACGGCGGGTACGTGTCCTGCAGGAAGCTCATGTGCTGCGGCGTGACCAGCTTCACTCTGCGGTGAAGCTTGCGAGCCGAGAGCGCCTTGTAGAGTGACTCCATAGCGGTTACAACTGAACGGAGGAATGGGTTGCCAGGGGAAACCACCTCGTTCCCCACCTGCCACTCGTCGTCAGGAGTAGATAAAAAGGACGTGGGAAAATTGAAATGCAACGCAGAAAAGCAAGACGGAAAGAAGACTTCTACAAGGCCCGTTGGAGGTGTGGGACTGAGATGGGCGAAAACTGTAAACCAGCCGGGAACGTGCGAGGCAGGCTCTGAATCTTCCGGAAAGAGCCGAGCACGGGGCCGTGCGGCGTCGACGTACCGCAATAGCGAGTATATTAGTCTTCGACATATACGGCTTTATATTCGCGTCCAACCACGCGAGAGCCGCCGAGTCGCTCTTGGCAAAATTATGGAGCAGCTGGTTGGGCACGCACGTCATCACTTCCAGGCCCGATCCAGCCAGCGCATTGAGCGCCGTCGGATCCGGCTGGAAGAGCTTGACGGCACTGAAGCCGCGCTGCTTGATGATGGAAACGGCCCGCGTGAGCGACACGGGGTTCGAGGAGAGCCCCACGCCGAGGTTTACTCCCATCCATGGCTTGCTGCTGGCTGCTTGCGCGGCGAGCGGGGCCAAGGAGAGAAGCACCGAGGGGTCATTTGGGAAGAGGAGGACGAGGATAGCGAGTGCAGCTATGACGAATGTTTGAGCGGGTGCGCGACAGGCAGACATTGCGTGCGGTGTCGCGAGACAGTGTGAGGATTATGCGCGAAGCGGGCGGGTGTGCTGCGAAGCAGTGTCGCGCAATGGGAAGGGTTGAAGACGGAATTGTCGAACACTGGTAAGGCTGGAGTTGGAAAGTAAGAAATCCTTGCCCGCATTCCCTGTTGATTGACGATGCGGTTTACAATCATTTATGTTAATCTCATTACGCGTGCGGCGCGATACAGTTCCAGCCCGCAAGTCTAGTGAGTGACGCTACGCGGTCGGTGTGATGTTAGCGCGTCTCAAAGGGTTGAAACTTTGAGATGGTGATGGCCTGCCATGCTCTGCACGTCCGCACTAACCAGCCAGAAAATACAGCGCCCTGCTAGATGGTATGCAGGAAAGGGCGCCCTGAGAGGGTTGTGATGGGAAGGAATCAGGAATGAACAAGAAACAACAAAGAAGTAGCCGAAGCAGGAAAAGCTGGTTACCTTTCTACAAGCGAAACTCAAGTTTTACTGCAACATCAATGGTTTTTGCGGGAACATATTTCCGTGAACGAGGTCGTTCATAATGACGAACGATAACGAATATATGGGCGAACTTCCATCACGAGACGCAATCTCACTTTTGGGATTGTCTTTCACAGGCTTCCGCGACGCGAGTTGGACCTTTACTATGCGAACAAAATTGTCAATCTATGCTCGTGAACAGTGTGCGAAGCTTTGTTTGTGCACCGACATGCTGGGTGTAACAGCTCAGTACAGTTGTGCTCGGCATGTTCTAGCAAATGGCGAACTTCGCGGCAACGTGACGAGTGAGAAATATTCCTCGAGAAGTTTATCCAACTTCAAACCAATGAACTTGGAAAACCCAAGCAAGTACACGAAAAACTAGCTCCATGTTTCTATATAAAAAGCCATCCTAATTGCGGTATTAGTATTTACATAGTTGTCTTCAACATCCGGAACAATACACGTGAATAGCAAGTCTTGCACCATTAAACTCTAGCCTAGTATGTCATTTATCTCCTGAAAGGCTGAAACACACTAGCATCCCTGGGAGGAGCCTGGAACATCCACGGTGTGTTAGTGCAGGGAAATGGAGAGACTGCTGGTCCTACACTGGGCAGCATGATGGATGCCTGCATAAAGCCCATGGGTGGAGCACCTGATGGAACTGTAGTAGCAGCAGCACCCAGTGGAGGCGGAACAGGTGGTAGGTAAACAGGCAGGCCAAGGGAAGGAATCATGGATGCTGCTCCATCCCTACAGAAGAATGGGGAAACTGCATATCCAGCAACTGTAGCTTGATATTTCGAATCTTTCACATTTAGAGGCACCACAATCCAGTCGGTGTTCTGCATGGCGACCTGCTGCAGGTGCTGTCCCTGGTGCTGTCCTCCTGACAAACCACCTTCAAGGTTCCTCAGCTCCACCTCCTTCCCGCCCCGCATGTCCTTGCTGTCTACAAGCCCCGAACGAGAAATAGCACACTCGCCCGGCTCTTCATCCTCTCCACCCAAATCTCCCGCACCACCTGCAAGGCCTTGAGCACGACAGCAAGACCCAACAGACCCAGAAGCTTCTGGAACAAGTAACTCCGAGTTCAGGTGCGGCGCGAAGGAGCCGGTGCCGCTGCAGCACGGAGCAGCGGGAGGGGGGACAGAGGCTCCTTGGAGAAGAGTGGCGCCGGTGTCCGCTGACGTGAGGTCGCACTGGGTTGGGAGGCCCGGGCGCTGAGGAAGTGTTTTGTTCCATGGAGCATAGAGCTGTTGTGGCTGTAACAGCGGCTGCTGCTTCACCTGCTGCTGATGCTGATGATGCTGATGCTGCTCGCTGACATCTTGGTTCGATTGGTAAGAGCCTCGAGGCTTCTGGCCTTGGTGCTGCTGCTGCTCTAGCTGATCGTTTGCAGGCGTCCCAACATGATGCAAAACTCGTGTCGTTCCTTCTGGATGCAGCTTCTGCTGTCCGTGCGGCACTGGGGCGCTGGTCAATCCACATATGTCTTCGTGGCAGTAAGCCCGCGAATACATCCGCGATACGAATTCCGACTCCATCCAATTTAAAAAGTCGTTGTGAGCATCCTCAGTCCAACAGCGGGTCCACAAAAAGCTCTCTCCACGGATTCCTGCTTCAACTGCTGTTCCTGCTGTGGTAGAAACACGTTCATGCGAACTACCTCCGTTAACAAAGGGACACAAGGGCTTCAGATTTGGCTGCTGCGATCGTTGCCGCTTGAGTTTCCGGGGCTCTGCAGCTCGTTGCGTCTGCTTTCCACGCAGAAGGTTGTCATCAGCGCAAGGAGTCAACGGACCTGCTGCATCCTTGTCTTCTTCACCAAAGCTCGCCGTAGGTCTCTGGCGCTTGTGCTGTGCAAGCACATCCGAGTTACCCATATGCTGCAGGCCGTACGTCATGTATGCGATGCAGGAGAACTGTTATATGACTGTCTTCCAAACAGACTTCCCAAGTCACTCGTCGGCCGTAATAGATGATCGTTGCCGTAAAAAAACTGCTGGCTCGCATAAAAATGGGCAACTTGATATAACGGTAATATGTGGTTGGACGAAAGGAGTCGACAAACCTCTGTTGTTACTCAAGTGCTTCCCTTGTACGATTTGCGCGCAGGGTTTGGGAATGAAGCTCGCTGGCTTTACAAGATTCTTCTCAAAACGAAACCAGTGACAAAGCGTTGGCACAGAATATGCGACGACCATGGCTGGAACACACGGGAGCTGGATATATCCTACCAAACCGCGAAGCTCAAGGAAGACCACTGATTTCAATGCGGGTGACTGGCTGGCAGGGACGCTCGAAGAAAAGGTTTGGATGACGCCCGAAAGGGGAGCGAAAAATCAGTGGCGGGCCAGGGGGAGACAGGGATGCAGTCGCTGTAAGCTGTCTCTGGCGGAAACGTAGATGGATGGGGAGAACGGCTTGGCGCTGGCGGATGAGCGGCGAGGTGAAGGGGAAATGACGGCAGGGCAACGAAGCTTGCGCCATGCATGTCACTGGGAATGGTGCGGCCAAATTGGCGCATCGAGAACCGAAGCAAGCTCCAGCGAGACAAAGGCGGGATAAATGCATGTGGGCCAGCCTGTGGTTGGAGAGCGCCAAGCACCTCGAGCATTGCGCGCACGAGTGGGGAGAGGCGATGCGAAAAAATCACTCGCTGCACCAATCATACGCGCCTTGCCGCGTCGGACCGCCAGCTCCGCTGGAAAAAGCGAGCCTCAAAGTCACCAAGGCACTGCCACGTGAGCATTGTGCGCTTTTTCCGTCAGCAAGGCGCGTGAATGAAAAATCGGCCACTTTGGCTTACAGGTGCCATGTGTGGTCGGGGCTACTTGAGGCTTATCTTGAAGAGTCTGGTGCGACGGACGGTAAGATCCGTCGCTTGCTGCTTGCTTATTCAAAGGAACTACAGCGTCCGTCGATTGAAGAAAGATATTGCCCAGCTGCTGTCCCTTGCACTGTTATAGCGTCCGACATGGCAAAGTGGTGAAACCCTGCCACCTGGCCTGCAGCAAAAGCATTGGCTGGGATCATGAAGAAACAGCGAGTGGGAGCACTTTCCAGGACAGAGTTCACGGAATGTGGCTGAGATATTTCCGCGTGCATACTTTTTGCTCTCGTGTTTCTGTAAACAGTGACCGGAGTGGCGGGAAATCAAGAAAACAGAAGGTTAACGCAGCAAGTGAGAAGAACTGCACAGTTCTGTATGCTTTACGGGCAGGACACATCGATGGGAAGGACGAATGCCATGAGATATTTTCCATCATTGATTTTGCCGCGGAAGGCTGTGATTGGAGAAGGGCTGGTGTGGTTGCAAATGCTGGTTCATCCGAGCCCTGGTGGGCGCAAACCCACCAGGTGCCTCTCCTGGTGGGTTTCGAACCCACCAGGACGCGCGAGCTGGCGGAAGCTGTCTGGAGCTTCCCTGTCAGATCAAATGGTACTGTTCAGGACTGAACACAGGTTGATGGGATCGAAGTGAAAAAAACATTGGCTTGCTGGGAGAAAAAGGTTCTCAAATCACAACTCTGCCACTGTAAATGTATAATCATCTGGGAGTGGATACAACAACCTCGTTACCCAGCGAGGCGTGTAAACAAGTGGGTAGGCGGGTTACGACCGACAGCCGGGGTAATACCAAAGGGGTTTTCTCATAAGCTTTAACTTAACAAAATATTGAAATGAGCCGTAATTGGAAGGGAAAACTCACCATCTTCCATAATTTTAACGTTCAATCATTCAACTGTCTGCCCGTTAAGAGCTCGAAACTGCCCATGTTTGTCATGCATGGATGGGACTGACTTGAGTTCGTGTCCGTGGGGATGACATGACATGTCAACATGGCAGTGTCAACACGAAGCGCGCTGAATTTGAAGTGTCAGGCACTGTACCTTCAGTGTCAAAACGAAACAAAAAACAAAATCCTGCGACGCAACGTGATTGGTTGGGCACGAGTTGTTGCAAGACCTTGCAGTCGCACAAGACTTTACATCCACACGCGATTTCTTGCAGGACCTTGCAGTCGTACAGAACTTTACATCCGTCGATTGGGCAGGTGTGGGTAGAAACAATTCTTGATCCTACCAGTTAGTTGGCTGGATGAACACGATTCGCAGAGCGGGATGTCTGACTATATTTACTGGCTGGCAGTTTTCATGTCGTTGACACTCTGCCAACAATGTCGTGTCAAAACCAGAAGTTGACACTCACAAGCTTGACATGTCATCCCTACGGACACGACATGAGGTCGCTTGCATGGGGTTGACTTGGGTGGGATCATGGCTGACGCAGAAGCTAGAAGATTTTCGTTAAGAACTGTGGAGGGGCTTCACTAATGATTTTACGCTTGCACTAACGGATGCATTACGCAAAGCATGTGGATATGACGTATCTAGTAAGTGAGAGATTTCTATTATAAAATCTTCAGTCCGCAACACATTTTCATGATTGCTAATTTCTGGTCCAGTCTACAAAAAGCTAGCTAATGCCCTAGACAATAATGATGAACTTTCAACAACCCCACTTTGTTGGGAGTGGGACCCACTGCTGTTGGGATACAACATATAAGCCTATCTGAAAATGCCACATGGCATGGCAGCACCAGATACTTGCAGCCATTCAGTAAGGAGGCTCCTTGATGGCTACACAGAGGAGAGTATACAGGGGTTGGGTTTGAACCGTCCTACCCAGCTATTGCGCAGTGCTGACCACACACAAGGAAAATAGAGAGCACTGCCATAGCCCGAAAAGGTTGTCCAAGCAAAAAGGGGTCGTGAAAGCCGAGGAAGGGGATGGGCTGGTGTGTATGCTGTTGCCAGTGAATGTGGAATTAGGAGAGGCGGAGGTAGGAGAGGTTGCATCTGTCCCTTGGGGTGTGTTTGTTGGGTTTGCTGCGTCGGGGGTTGTAAGTATGCTGCTGCATGTGGTGAGGTCGTCGGCACTGGGAATGGTTATGAGTGATGGGGGCACTGTGGCAGACAAGAGACGCGGCGCTGTTGCTTCTTTAGCAGCTGCTGCTGGTTGTGATGTTGGTGATGCTGGCGATGCTGCTTCCGAAGGAGCCATCTCCTGCATTGCAAAGAAAAGGGGATGTCAATAACACAAAACAGGTGAGATTAAAAACTGCGGAACAGTAATGGAGTAGGGAACACGAAAGCGCAAATGCGCACATACACACACCACCCTAATCGACATGCCACACATGAGAACGAAAGGGCAATAGGAAACAGCAGAACAGTGAGCAAGAAAAGAGCCAAGAAACAACAAGAAGGGAGAGGGTCCACAATAGAGTGTGCATGTGGTGCTTACCTTGGCGGATAGCCTGCTGCCCGCATCAACACAGATCAGCTGTGTGCCTGTAACCTTAACGTCAATGCCTGCCATCCCAATGCCTGTAACCCCAACGTCTCTCACAGTCACTCCATTGACATCACCAGCTCGCTTCACTCCTGCCTTCGCAATCATAGCTCCTCGTGCTCCTTCTACTACTGGACCTGCTGCCGTTGCTGCTGATCCTGTTCCTGATCGAACTCCTGCTGGTGGCCCTTGTGCTAATGCTGATTCTGCCAAGGCCATCATCGCTCGTAGCTCAGTGGCTGCCTTGTCCCATGCTGCTGCCACAGCTGCTGCTGCCGCTGCCGGCACTGCAGCTGCTTCAGCAGCTGAATACACCGGCGCAGCAGCAGCAGCAGCAGTTGCGCCACCAGCACCCTCAACAGCAGCCACAGCCGAAGCATCACCAGCAGCATCACCAGCGGCAGCACCACCATCATTGCCACCAACCCTGGCAGCAGCAGCAACGGCAGCATCATCAGCAGCAGAGGGAATGCCATGCACAAGAAGCAGTGCTGCATGGTACCGAATGAAGGCTCGGCTCAACCCATCGCATCCCACCGCAGATGCCGCGGCTGCTGCTGCTACGAGCACCTCTTGAGTCCACAGTAGTAGCACAGGGTGTAGCGGGGCGAAGGGAGAGGAGGAGGACTGGGGGGAGAGAGTGAGGGAGCGAGGGATGAAGGCAATGGGGTTGGTGCTGGAGGAGGAGAGGTAGGACTGGGAGCGAGGGAGAGAGGGGAAAATTCCTCCAGCGGAGGGTTTGGAGGTGGACAGAGTTTTGTGAGAGAGCATGGCTGCGGTTGTGGTCGTGGTTGCATGCAGGGGAGAGGGTGTGGGTGTGAGGGGAGACGCGACGGTGGAGGAATGGGATGGGCGAGAAGGAGAGGTGAGAGTGAGAAGTGCGCGTGTGAGGTGGGGGGTGAGGAGCAGGAGCAAAGCTCGGGCAATCAGAGGACTTGAAGCGGTGACAAAGGGATACCTGAAGGGTGGAGAGGGGAGAGGGGTGTAGAGGGGGAGGGAGGAGCGGGAGTGGATAGAGGGGAGAATTGAGACACTGAAGAGGAGGAAGGTCAGAGGCGATTAGAGAGAATGAGAGTTTCATGAAGAGTAAAAGTAACTTAAGGAGGATCACGTGGAAAAGGTTTGAGTTTATGCTGAGATACGTCACACCATGAGGAGGTAGAGAAAGGGGGGCAGGAGGAGGAGGAGGAGGAGGAGGAGGAGGAGGAGGAGGAGGAGGAGGAGGAGGAGGAGGAGGAGGAGGAGGAGGAGGAGGAGGAGGAGGAGGAGGAGGAGGAGGAGGGAATCTGGAGTGCGTACTGGATTTGCTGACTGCTTGCCCGAACCTGCTCCCTGAGCAGGATCCTCTCCTCCCTCTCGATGCTCCGCAGTAGCAGCCGCTGCTGCTTCAACCATTGCTCCTCTTGCTGCTGCCGTTGTTGTTGGTGCTCGAGGCACTGCTTCGCATGCCCCAGCTTGTTGCGAGACAAGGAGCGTTTGAAGCCCTGCTTTGTGGCCTGGCGCGTGCCTACTCGTGTAAGAAATACCAGTTCCTCTGGCGTCTGCTCTCCCTGTGAACGGATCACCCCATCACTGTCCGTGCACTTCCCACCAGAGGACTTGCTAGCGGGGAGAGTGACTCGCACACTGCTCCTTCCCACACCCATACTCAGCCCCTTCCACCTCCTCCCACTGATGCTGCCTTGAGGCTCAGGCTCTGAATGCCTGTGCATGGTGCGGGGCGGGAGGGAGCGAGACCGCGAGAAAGAGGAGGTAGGTGAGGAGGGGGAAGCGGAGGAAGAGGAGGACGAGGAGGACGAGGAGCAGGAGAAGAGGGAGTTTGTAGGAGAGAAAAACGGCGACCAAGAGTGAGAGAGAGGAGGAGGAGGGAGGTGGGGAGAAGTAAACGAAGGCGAGCGGGTGGGATGAAGGGAGGAGGAGGCGGCAGAGGAGGCAGAGGCAGAGGCGGAGGCAGAGGAGGAGGCAGAGGAGGAGGCAGAGGAGGAGGAAGAAGCGGCTGCGGGAGGCGCGGGATGGTGCATGCGGATCTCGTTGCGTGTGATGCGGTGGTAGAGCGCGGAGAGGAGGGCGGGAGGGAGGTCGCTGCCATTGTCAATCCCACGGTTGTTGCGAATAAACTCCGCTTCCGTCATCTTCTGCTTGACACACGGGCTGTGCGCGTCCGTGTTGAGCATGACGATGGAGTACGCCAGCACGTGCGCTGTGGACGGGCGCCCGCTGAGCGGGCCTCCAGGATTGCAGCAGCAGCAGTAGCGCGCTGCCAAAGCTTCCATGACTCGCTCGATCTTCTGCGCCTCGCCCGGCAGCCGGAACCACTGCAGCACCACCCGAATCGCCTCGTCTAGCTCCAATCCCTGGTGGTGGGGGAAGGGGAGGGGTGTGGGGGGAAGGGGGAGAATGAATGAACTCCGCTTCGGTCATCTTCTGCTTGACACACGGGCTGTGCGCGTCCATGTTGAGCATGCCGATGGAGTACGCCAGCACGTGCGCTGTGGACAAGCGCCCGCTGAGTGCCCCCCCCGGGTTGCAGCAGCAGTAGTGAGCTGCGAGGGCCTCCATGACTCGCTCGATCTTCTGCGCCTCGCCCGGCAGTCGGAACCACTGCAGCACCATGCGGATCGCCTCGTCTAGCTCCAGTCCCTGGTGGTGGGGGAAGGGGAGGGGAGGAGCGAAGGGGGGAAGTGGAATGGAGGCGGTTGGTGCAAGGACTACGGATCCGATGGTGAATTCAGAGTGAAACATTGCAGCACCATCCGGATAGCCTAGTCGCTCCAGTCCCTGGTTATGGGGGTTGTGATGATGAGGGGTGTTCAGCTTCCAGAAACACATGATATCAATACAGGAACAAACGAATTAGTGAAGATAGAGGGAAAAGAAGGCAGCCTGGACAGCTGGATGGCCTAAATGCTAAGCTGATGATTGACGAAAAGGATTGTTCAAGAGCGGGGTGGCAGGAGGAGAGGGGTAGAAAGGGGCGGAAGGGGGCAGAAAGGGGCGGAGGGGCCCAGAAAAGGGCGGAGGCGGGCAGGAAGGAGGTACCCTGAGGTCGAAGGAGTCCATGTAGGCAGCGAGCACAGCAGCAGCATGTGGGCCTCTCTCCCCCAGATAGCTGCCTATGGCCGTGCGGCAGAGAGCAGGTGCCGTGCGCAGGAAGATTGCAATGGTGCGAGGGGAAGGCGGGGAGGAGGAGGAAGAGGAGACGGGGGAGGAAGGTGTTGTGGAGGACGGAGGCAAGGAGGAGCAGGTGGAGGAGGGAGTGGGGCAAGAGGTGTGGGCAGGGGCGGAAGGAGGAGAGGGGTATGAGAAGGACGGGAGGGAGGAGAGGGAAGAGGGGTGTGGATGGGCGTTGAAGCGGTGGATCGCGGCATGGTACAGCAGCTTGCGCTGCACCTGCTCACACATATGCGCCCATGATTTGTGAGGCGCCTCAAAAAGGGAGGCATGGCACGGCAGCTTGCGTTGCACCTGCTCACACAGGTGCGCCCATGCCCATGATGACCTGTCTGTATCCCCAAGCTTTGCAGCCGCTTCACCATCAGCACACGCCGCAGCGGCGGCCGTGGCACTGGAATGAGCAGCTGCAGCAGCAGTGGCTCCATTCACAGAGCTGCTCCTCTCACCCGTCTCGTCCTCCCTCTGTCCTTCTCCCAGTTCCCCTGCTTCCCTCCCTCTCTTCGCACTTCCGTCCTCTAGCCTCGCGCTAGACCAGTTACCCAGAGATCGCAGCAGGGACGCAAAGGCAGAGAGTGCTGCAATGCGGTGGGGGTCATAGCTTATGGGGCTGAGATTAAGCAGAGAGATCGGAGGGGGGTTGTGAGAGAGTGGAGTGGAGAGAGAGAGGGATTGGTAGGGGGACAGGCATGGAGACGGGGAGAGGGATGGGGAGGGGGACATGGATAGGGAGGAAGGGGAGGAGCGGAGGGAGGAGCAGGAGGGACAGCGGGAGAGTGAGAGCGATGATGGGAAGGTAGACGAACTTGTGGTGCTGCTGCTGCTACTGCAGGTGCAGCTGCAAGTGGTACTGCAAGTGGTGGTGCAGTTAGTGCTGGTGCAAGTGGGGGTGGTGCTGTGGCTGTTATAGAGCCCAGGAGTGTTGCTCGTGCTGCTACAGCTATGGATGCAGCCGCTGCCCTGAAGACTCATGGCCATGTGGGCCGAGGCAGGAGCAGGTGCAGCGGAAAAGGGAGAGATGGCGGGAGAGATCAAAGACGAGGGCGAGGGAGAGGAGTAAGAAGGAGAGGGAGCAGCAGGCAGGTAGGCTGTCAGGTCTGGGACTGAGAACGTGGGTGAGGGAGAAAGGAACTGTTGCTGCTGGTGGTGCTGCTGCTGGTGCCGTTGCTGCCGAGGCTTGAGTTGGGAGCTGTGGTGCGTGTCTGGGTCGAGAGGGGTGCAAATGGTATCTGCTAGGGCGCTTATAGACCTGCCAAGACGGGGTAAGGTGGAGTGGGGAAGGGGGTTGAAGGGAGGTGGAGGGGAAACGAGGGGGAACGAAAGGTAAAGGTGGGGACAAGAGGGCGGGGAGGAGAGTTTGTGAGTGAATAGACTATGGGGAAGAGAAAGGTAAAGCACTATGAAAGGTAAAGAACTATGCACTCTCTCGTTCTTACCTTCCCTTGGTTGGCAACACAACACAGTCACGTGCACGACACTGATCCCAAGCCCATGACGCACCGACCTACTAGTAAAGAATGCCCTTTTCCCTCCTCCACTCCACTAGAACCCGCTACCCACCTGCGCATGGCACACCTCCCAGTAAAAAGTCCCCCGTTCCCCTCTTTAGAACTCACCGGAGCACGAGGTCGCCCCCGCCAGGGCAGCAGTCGTGATTGAGAAAGAGGTCCAGGGAGAGCTGGGGGAGGGTGAGCAGATTTTCTAGTCGAATCAAAAATCAACACAAGCTCTCTCCCCCGCCCCTTCCCCCAACTACAACCCACCTGAGCACGAGGTCCCCTCCGCCAGGGCAGCAGTCGTGGTTGAGGAAGAGGTCCAGGCAGAGCTGGGGGAGGGTGAGGAGGGCGCGCAAGGCGCAGAGGAAGGGCGCCTTGGCGCGCAGGGGGAGGGTGCGGCTGTTGAGGGGCGTGAGCAGCATGTGCGAGACGAGGGGAGGGACTTGGGAGTGGAGCGGCGCGCGGAGGAGGGTGAGGAGGCGGAGGAGGAGGGAGAGTGAGAGGTGGCATAGTTGAAAGGTGGTGCTGCTGGTGCTGGTGCTGCTGGTGCTGCAGGTGGTGGTAGTGGGTGGAGTTGAAGGTTGGGAGGAAGAGAGGTGAGGTGAGGTAGTATTGGTGGTGGGAGTGGTGGGGGGAGAGGCGGTGGTTATTGCCGCATTGACGTTGCTGATGAGGAAGAAGCAGAGAGAGTCCTTGAGGGCATTCACCAGCCTGTACAGAGGTGATGAACCAGGCGCGGGCGGGGAGGGAGTGGGGAAGGGGGGTTGGGGGGAAGGGGAGAGAGTGGCGGGAAGGGGGAAAGAGAAGGGTGGGTTAGTCCAAACAAGTTAGGCTAGTAGCTACAAATGAGCCCAACGTATCTCTCAAGAAGCAGAGCTGTGACACAATGCCTTGACCTGCCTTCACACCCAGGCAACTCGTCCAAACGGAGAAGGCGCAACAGGTAGAAAAGGGCGAGTCAAAAGAGATTCGGGTCGTGAAGTGGTGGTTGTTTGGCAGGTGGGGAGGCTGTGAGAGGCGAATAGAGAGACGCACCGTGGGTGAGAAGCAAGGTGCGGCGCACTGGTCTCCACCACCCAGCACAGCAACTCCATTGCTGCCACCCTTACTTCCTCCTCCCCTACTTGCTCCCCCTCCCCTCCTTGCCGCTCGTCCCCTATTTGATCCTCCTCACACACCTGCTCCGCAACCTCCTCACTTTCTTCTGCTTCCTGAGACTTCTGCCCGCAGTGCCCTCTCCTCCCACGGCCTGTTCTCCCATGCACGGCGAGATGGCACAGCTCCGTAAGCAGCAGTTGTGCATCATGGGACCACACAGTCTCACGCCTCTCCTCCTCGCCCTCCAATGCACCACCGGCGTCAGCAGCAGGAGACGTGCAAGCAGCAGCAGCTGCTACAGCAGGAGCTGCAGCTGTAGCATCAGCAGAGTGTGAAGCATAAGTGTGACCATCCAAGAGACTGCTGCTCGCGCTGCTGCTGCTGCTGCTGCACCCCTGCAAACTCTTCCCGGTTAAGCTGCTGGTACCGCAGCCACTGTTGCGGTCACTGCTGCTGACTCCGTTGTTGAAATTCCCAAGGCTACCACTGCTGGCAATAGAGGGTAGGGAACAAGGCTCTAAATCTGTGCCAAGATTGTCCGTGTGTTGCTGCTGCTGCTGCTGCTGCTGCTGCTGCAGTGGCCTCTGAGCAAGTGGTTCCTCCTCCCTGTCCTGGATAGACGGTGGCAGTTGAGGATTGGCCTGCCCATTGCTGCTACTACTGCCACAGTTCACCTCCCCTGTACTCGCCTGATTACTCTCCACACACATCCGTGTGCTGCTTGAGTGAACATCTTTCATCACTCCCGATTGCTTGAAACCCATCTCTTTCCCCGCCACTTCTCTTTCCACACCTCCAGTCACCTCTCCCCCCCCCCCAGCCTGTGCAAGCATGAAACGCGCATCTACTCTATCAAGATTTCCCACACGCCCGCTCCACACACCATCGTACCCGCACACAGCACCCTCTCCTGCCTCTCCCATGCACACTCCCGCGCACCCTCCCCTCGCTGCCTCCTCTTTCCCTCCCTTGCCCAAACTCCCACAAGCCTCTACAGCATCCCAATCTCGCCCCTCACTCCCTCCCACTGTCCCTCCATGCTGCCCCAGCGCAAGCACCAGCTGCTGCTGCACCCACTCCCAGTCGCTCTCTCCCAAACCTTCCTCGCCTCGCCCTTTCTCCCACAGCGGAGCAGCACACAGAAGCGAGGGGCGACACACAGCGGAGCTGCAGCAGGTATGACAAGGCCCATCCCTGGTCCCTGCGTCCCTCTGCTCCTCCTTTCCAGTAAAAGAGTATGTCAGCATGTGTGCTAGAGCGGCTTTAGCGAGTGCTTTCAGCCTGCCGTTCGCCCTGCCAACTGCTGCCGCCCATGCTGCTTCCCTGCTCCTCTGCTTCGCCTCCTCTGCTGCTGCTGTTCCTGTTCCGTGCACCGAGTGTTGTGTCGCTGCATCACCGTGTTCCTCCTCTGCCTCTGCAACACGGCCTCTCCTCATCCCTCTCACACGCACACTCCAGCCACCACCACTGCCGTCAGTACTGCCTCTACTCGCACTGCTGCTTCTGCCACCGCTGCCACTGCTCCCAGTACTGATACTACTGTTAATACTGCTGACGCTGCTGGCGCTGCTGACGTTACTGCTGAAGCGGTCGTTCCTCCTCACCGCCCCTTTCGGCCGCCCCAACTCCTCCCTCTCCCCTCGAACCAGCGCCATAACCTCCCGTCGGGAAGCAAGAGACGCGGGTGCAACCTCAGAGACAAGGAGGGAAGACTGGGCGTGCTTGCTGCCAGACCGGAGAGATAACGGCCGTACGCGAGCGGTGGGAGGGCGAGGGTGCAGGTGCACGGAAGTCGGAGCGAGGGTGAGTGGGGGTGAGAGTGGGAGAGGGTGCGGGATGGGAAGAGGTGAGAGCCTGAGGGAGAAGAGACGGTGGAAGAGGGAGAGGAGGACGGACGCGTGGAGGCGAAGGGAAGGAGCGCAGGCGAAGGCGAGGAACGTGCGGACTGCTTGGTACTGCAGAGAAGTTACAGCAGATGCTGTCGCGGCAGCAGCAGCACCAGCGGTCGCGGCAGTAGGGGCGGTGCTCGATTGTAGCACATTCGGTACGTGCAAACCCGACGGAGGTGGCGGGAGAATGTGAGCTGGGCGTGTGGAGGAGGACGAAGACGCGGGGTGGACGATGGGAGGAAGACCGGCACAGAGGCAAACGGCATCTAAAATGCGCCCTGCCACGCCGCCGCCGCCAACGCCACTGCTGCGAGCACCGCTGCTGCCACTGCTGCTCCTGCTCTCGCGCTTGCCCTCGCGGCTGCTACTGGTCATGCTAGCTTCACATTCGCCGTCCAATGCCCCACGTGACGAGCGCGCGCCTGGCCCCAAGTCTGCATCACCACCAGCGCCGCCGTCGTTCCTAGTTACCTTATCAGTCGGACGCACCACACAGTCCCCAAATGCAACCACCCGCTCTAATCTCCCCCCCACACACGCGCACCTCCTATCACCGATGCACCCCCTGATCGCGCCCATCATCAGCAGCTCTTGGAAGGACTCCAATGCGGCCACTGCCATGCTCCCCGCGCTCACCACTTCCGCTTTGCCCCGTCGCGGTGAGAAATCCGCGCCGGATCTGGCGCCGCTAGTCGCGCCGTGTTCCGCGCTGGGCACTGTGGCACCCAGCGGAAAATCAGCAGTTGCGGCGGCGGCGGCAACGGCAAGTCCAGGGGCGATTGAGGCTTTCTCGGCGGCGGCGGCGGCGCAAGCGGAAAGCAACGGGCGCAGCAGCGCTTCCGCCTCGACCGGCGGAATTTCGCCTCGCGAGCTATCGACGAGACATGACGTGTCAAACACAGTGTATGGAACTTCCCCTCCCCGCCTGCGACACGCACCGCACCTACCGCCCTCAGTACATCTCGAAGCAGCTCTGCTGTTTCCTGTAGCGTTCGCGCGGAACTGTGCGTGCGACTGCGCTTGTATGGAAGCCTTTCCTTGCTCCGCTTGTTCCTCCTCTTTCTCCTCAATCTCCTCCTCTCCCCTTCCACCCTCTCCAACCCCTTCCTCCTCTTCCACCTTGTCCTCCTCGTCTCCCTCCTCCTCGAACACAAGACGTCTAGCGATCGCCTTGTCCTCAGGGGACTCCGTCACACCGCCCAGACCACCGATAACAGCACTCCCTGCCGGCCGCACCTCGCAGTGTACATCGCAGTTTCTTTCACAGCTCCCAGCCTCGCAGTTTCCCGCTTTGTTTAGCTCGCACCCCTCTGCACGGTTCTTTATGCCGGCGGCCGGCCTGTCGTGCGCTCTAACGGAATTGCTGTCGGGATCGTAACGGGCTGCAGGATCGGAACTGACGGACGTCGCATCGGCGACGCTGCTGCACGAATCTCCCACGTGGCTAACTAAAGCTGGAGCAGCACTGCCTGGATCCCCAATTTCCGCGTCTTCAGCTACTCTTACACAGCCTCTAGCCGAAGCGGCGGTTACTGTAACTGTATCTAATCTCCTCGAGGGGACTGAGGGGGTGCAAAAGCCGTCCGTGGTGCTTATTTCCGCGTCTTCAACCACCGTTTTACCGATACCAGGAGTTATAGGATTAGCGGTATTCACGGTTGTACCGGCGGCAATTGCTTCGTGAGAACTTGTCGCACCGGAGGCGGAGAGAAATCGCATGGCCGTGCGACATTCGGAAGCTACCTGGGAGTAGCGATCGCACGTGCATGCGACGTCCAGGGCGACAGTCAGAGCTGGTAAGACGACTGCATGGATGTCGCCTATAGAGTAACTCGAGGGACGAGTGGTGGTGATTGGCGTTAAGGGAACTAATGGCCATGGCAAGTCGTGGCCCTGTTGCTGCTGTGTTAGGTCGCTGGCTGTCATGATGAAGTAACTGTGTTCCTATGCTAGCTTCTCACGTTTCATAGTAATCTTCTCAATTTTCTGGTTAGATCGGACGCGAACTTTTAAAGGACATGGACGCCTTTGACACAGACTAACATTAAACCTCGTACTCGTCGTTGTTGTATACGAGATGTGTGTTCTGACGACAAAACATTGGGTGACCCCGAGCAACATGCCGCACACAGCAAGGTTTGAGGTCTTATTCAAAGTAGGCATCTAGCTAGAGCGTGGAGTGGACAGGAAGGGGAAAGCAAGGAAAGCTTATTCTGGAACTTGAGAATCGAAGGCATCAGCCAGCCAGCCACCTCTCCGACCAACCCAACCTCGAGGCGCCAATCGGTCATTGGGCGACGGATGCGCTCTCCTTGAAGATCGCATGTGTTGGTCGGAGAGGGTGAGGATGCGTGTGGGTCGGCGACCGAACTATCTTCCCCCACCTTGCGTCATCCACGAGATTTCTCTCTAGTCGTTTGCCGTCGCAATGTTTTCGTTGGCGACGCGGCGAGGAAACCAAGGTCCCTCTCCCCCACCCCACCCAACAAACAATTCCGGTGTGCTGCCCTTGAAAGTGCCGCGACCGCTGGCGGAGGCGACGGCTCTTGCGTTACGGTGCGACGGGGTTAGTTCCAGGGGGCTCCGTGAGGAGAGTACCTTCGTGTTTGGCGCGTTGGGAAAGCTGATGCATGGGTAGGGTCCGACTTTGATGGTCAACGTTCAAGACACCCATGTGACATGGATGGGTGGGATCATTCGATGGATCGTGAATGAATGGTTGAGATGCTGGCAGTCGAGGGATAGATGGATGGCTTCCCTTCCCTTCTCTCGAATCGTGGAGCTTTTTGTGGACGCTCATGGCGTGGCGGGGACATCAAATGCAGCTTTTCGCTGATGTGGCAGTAACTGTATGTGGGGCAAGTGAGGGACCTATTGATTCGTCCTGGGGAAACTGGTTTTCTTATATGCATTAGCCTTGTTCACGAATTCCAGTTCCTAACATCGTAATATGAGTTTCGCTAACTCCTGAGACCACAAGTTTCCACCAATTCTCCCCACGATTGATACCAACTCTTGAGTTTACAACACCCTGATCCCCCTCCAACCATCGTGCACAGCTGCTCAGCTGAAGCAAGTATTGGAGCCTCATAGTGATACTTACTGCAACAATCCGGGGTTGTTCAAACAGAAGGGGATTTCCAACAGTTATTTCTGTTATATGCAAATGGAACGCACTAGGCTCGCGGCAAGGCCATCGAGAAAAAACGGTGACCCCTCCTTGACTGGTTGACGACCGTCGAACCGCGTGGTGGGAGCCACTAGAGCACAGCAGCTTGAAAATTTGCAGGCGCAAACCACATGAGACACCAACAGAGAGCTATGGGTAAAATTGCTGTAACGGTACATGTAAGGAAAATCCTTTTCCTTACTGAGCTCAACCACAGCGCGTACGCCCTCGGACTTCGGAAGGCTAGGCTCGGCCTAACTTTTCGGTCCCGAACCACTCTAGCGCAACCAAACCTAAATGCGGGGCTGTTCCGTGGCTTTCGTCACCCGAGTCGCCCCAACCTAGTTGCAAGGTTCTCGGCTAGCGTAATTGCGCCTATAAAGTGCCGTAGCCTTTCATTTGTATTCGGACTCTTGAGTCACGTCCTGTTATTGAATTCCGCGCTACTACTCTGATTCGATACATAACAGCTGGTATCAGAGCTACTTTCCTGCCCGCTTAGTCTTCCGTAGGCGAGTCCGTTTATATCGGGCGAGGACCTGACAGAATAGAAGGTTGGCCTGCGGTCGGTAGGTGAGCTCAATTAAAGCTCCTACGACTAGAAGCGTGTGCACCTTCAGATCTGTTAGGTGAAACAGTTCCAGCATGACGAGTGAGCTGGAATCCTCTGCCCGCCGTAGTGTTAGGAACGTGACACAGGAGGAGTTTGACGAGTTGCAGACGAGGGCGGCCACGGTGACGACGCTACAGTCGCAACTCCAACAACTCATGGCGAAGTTCGAATCGCTCGATGGCGAACTTCAGACGCTGCGCGAGGAAAACTCATCACTTCGCCAGGCGCGTGGAGAGACGCGTCAGAGGCGGCCTGTTACCCGAGACGAGGATGCTGCGAGCGAAGCGACAAAGTCGGCGACACCTGAAGCAACAGAAGAAATCAACAGTGGGCAACGAGCAGTTATTAAAGTTAAACCTGCCACGCCCCCGCCGTTCAATCCGACCGATAAAACCACAACAGTGAGCGGGTGGTTGTTTGCTGTTGAGATCTTCTTTAATGCAGCTAATATTCACGACAATGCAACACGTGTGAATTTTGTTGTATCACTGCTGAGAGGACCGGCACTCGACTGGTGGCGCATGCAACTCGCAGAGGGAGGGGCCTCGGCAGGACATCAACGGGCGGTAGCTGGGGAGCAACAGTCGTCTGAAGCAATGGCGGTCCCAATCTTCGGATCGGCCATGAACCTCACGTGGCGAGCGTGGGGCGAAGCCTTGAAAAAGCGGTTTGAGCACATATCCGCGCGCAAACACGCTCGTGCGAGGCTTCGGGAATGGCGTCAGTTGGGAGCTGTTCAAGAATACACCGCGTCGTTCCTAGCACTCTGCGACCAGATCGACGGCATGAACGAAGACGAGAAGATGGACCGCTACGTGGCGGGATTGAAACCGGAAATACAGCTGGAAGTTGAAGTGCGACGCCCAGCGAATTTTTCGGAGCTCGTCGAGTTGGCAGATGCGCTGGACGCGCGGCGGGCATTCGCGAGGACGAGTTTCCGGGAGGGAAATCGTTTTCGAGGCCAGCACCAACACCCTTCCATCAACGGCGTGGACGCGATGGCAGCCCGGGTGTTTACTGGTCGCTGTTTCAACTGCAACCAGCCGGGCCACATGGTGCGGGACTGCCCGGCGCTTAAGAAGGACTTAGCTAACGACCGGAAGCAGTCGGGAAATGGAAAAAGTCAGTAGCTGATGGGCCACCTGCTGACTTGACTGCGTCGCCCAAACACCACCACCCCCACCAGGTAGTAGTGCCGATTTATGCAGTCGACCACTCCTGGCTGAATAAGGGGGGTGAACCTGTTGATCACCCTGTGCTGGTAGAAGGAAGAGTTGGGGATAATAAAATAAAAATATCTGTTGATGGTGGAGCGAGCCACAGTTTGATGGATGTGACAAAAGCGAAGAAGCTGCGATTACAATTGGAGCGGTGCATGCCGGAGATCGACGCGCGATTGGTCGACGGTACACCACTGGCGATTCGAGAACGGGTGCCACACGTTCGAGTCACATGCGGCGAACGTTTCAGTTTCACGACGAAGATGCTGGCGACGACTCTGGATGGCTGCGACATGCTGCTGGGGCGCGATTGGCTGCGAGAGTACAACCCGAGCATCGATTGGCGAACGGGCGACTGTCGCATCAAGTGGGGAGGCGAGTGGCGACGACTACCCCGGTGGAGTGGACCTGAAGCGACTACATCGACGGTCAGCGCCGTGACGATCAAGCGCGCCATGATTCGGGGCGCACAACTCTACGCCGTCCGATGGATCGCATCAACGACCGTCGACGATACCCCCGACATCGAAAAGTTGTGCGCTGGCGTACCCGACGACCTGGCGAAACTCATTCGGAAGTACCCAACCATTTTTCCAGATCACCTGCCCGCCGGTCTACCACCTCAACGCCCCCAGGACCACAAGATCCAACTCGAACCCGGCGCGCAGCCAACCGTGCGGACACAGTGGCGGCTGACGCAACCTGAGCTGGAGGAACTACGTCGACAACTTGACTACCTGTTCGAGAAAGGCTTCGTCCGGCCCAGCACGTCTCCGTTCGCCGCCCCAATCCTGTTCACACCGAAGAAGGATGGGGGCCTTCGCATGTGCATCGACTACAGGGCGCTGAATCGAGTTACAATTAAATCCCGATACCCGATACCACGCGCCGACGAACTCATCGACCAGCTTCGCGGAGCAAAATTCTTCTCGAAAATCGACTTGCGAGGGGGTTACCACCAGATTCGCGTCGACAAAGCAGATTGCTACAAGACCGCGTTTCGTACCCGGTACGGGAGTTACGAGTACACAGTCATGCCCTTCGGTCTGACAAACGCGCCTGTGAAACAATGAGAAGAGGAATGAAATGACTAAGTCACAAATTGGTACAAATGACCAACCCTAGGAATCTGTACCCCATATGTGCTACCCCACTATAGCCTACAAACATGTATCAGCTATAATGTTCTGACACACCCCCATAGGCAAAGTGGGGGAGAACAAGGGGTCACAAGACCAGTCAAGCAAAGCAAAGCAAGCTCAGGGTGGATCACAAAGTCACCACACAGTCCGAGCACAAGAGCAGGGCCAGAGGCCAGTTCACATGCAGGAGTACAGACATATATATAATACTAGACAAGCAAGAGCAGGTATATATATATGTCACAGTACAAGTGAAGTCAGGAAGAGA